TGAAAGGCGACATCACATTAGGAGAGGTCGCGTAAAGTGTAAACGGCGAACTGACCAAGTTTCCGAATATGGTAGCAATTATTGCATCATGCGGGGTGAAGCCTTTCGTTGTCTCGAGATATGTCGGGTACAAATCCTATGAAGTGGAGCATGTCGGGTTGGACAAGAATGAGATGTGGCGACGAACCAACGTACCTGAGAACCATGAGAGAGGAAGTTGAATCCTTTACAATGAGGTCCACCGGTCAGAGATACAAAATCATGACAGGTAATGACGGGCACGTACCCGCCATAAGCAAAACGGCATAAATACATAACGCCCAGTGTTGTTTGAGCATTTCCTTAACATCTTTGATGAATGCCTTTGTCTTCTTCGACGTATCGGTTCCCCCGTAACGCTCTACCTCCCTTGCGCGTAAGACATACTCACTCTCGGGAAGGAGAGCGCGAAGGCATGCTGTTGTAAAGGATATACCACAAGCCGTCCAGAACATGACCCTCCAGCCCTGGGTTGCGTGCGGCACGATGAATAGACTGACCAACGCTGCGATGAGATACCCGCACGCGTAGCCTTGTTGTAAAACACCGCTAGCCACGCCACGAGCTTCAATGGGGAGGTTTTCGAGTGCTGTGGATGCTGCTAGTCCCCAAATTCCGCCCATTCCGACACCGAAGAGGGACCGAAGGGCGAGAAATTGCTTGAATGTTTGGACGAATCCCACACAGAGTTCGAGGGAAGAAATGAGAAGGAGGTTGCAAACTAGAGGCCATTTTCTTCCGTAGCGATCTGAAAAAATACCAAACACAATCTTGAAAACTCGTGAGCATCAACGAAAGATGGTAAGGGGTTAAACTAAGACGCACGGCGCCTACTGATCGGAATAAGAGCGTGAGGGTGATTGAAGTCGTCTGCGCCAGAATCGTTAATTGTAGTAATCAATCTTCGCTTGAAACAAAGTACAATGTCACGAGCAGACCTGTTAAACTGACGTTCGAGTCGGTCAATGCTGAGAGACACGGAGAAAAAGTCGATGGCATCGCATGTCCACGCCAACCACCTAATGATCATATGTAATTTAGCCACGGTCACGTGGAGGTAAAGCGATGTACCCAACAAAGAACTGAGCCCATTGAATCCATGTCAAGCCACGTAGAACAGTGAGTAGGTGTGTTTTTTGTCTCTGCTCTCTTCGAGGAAGTAAATTTCGTAAGAAGTATGGTGCCATGGCTGAACGTCGTGATCAGGAAGCTTGAAATTTTATAAACGGCCTCTGTGCACCTTCTTATCCAAGCTCAATTTTCCGTCCTCAGGCTTCGAATCGGAGAAATGCATTTTGACCCGAATTCTACCGTTACACGTACCAACGAGGTTGTACATCATAGGAAGGCAGGAACTCCGTGAGTTAGCTGATCAATTTTGCGCCTAATGACCAGAGATTCAAAAGTTTATTACTTGAATGAACAATCAATATTATATTTGACCCAGGGGAGCGGCGATACACTTAACACGCGATTTCCCTTGCGATATGCCAATGCAGCGGATTTTGAGAATCATTTGAGTGATGGTCTGGACTCTGGAGCATATGCTACCAGAATCGGATCACCACATTTATTACTCAGACGGTTGGCCGCATACAATATGAGGGAAAACGGCTGTTGATGTTCCAACGTGGAGCATATCTGACGAAGTCCGTTTTCCCGGAAATTGAACTAAAGCAGCCAAAAAGCAGCGCCTATTTCTTAATAAGCGTTGGTAACCTGAGTATTGTATTTATAAGTAGTGGAGCTGTTGCAATTCGTCAACAAATGACCTCGCCATAACTTTCCGTGGTGGTTGGAGATCAGGAGAGAAGAATAAACGGAAAGCCGCGGTCTATTTTTGATGAGCGTCATATTCCGCTCCCGAATCCATGAGAACCGAAAGAAAATATCCTGGTCGATTAATTACTATAGATTGTGGAATGTTCCCCTTTCGACAGCGATGGA